TGCGCTTGCCAGGCAGGCGCTTTTGCCGCTGAGCTAAATCCCCAGCCCCAACAAGGTATTTTAGACTCTTTACAACCTTGCCCCCAAACTTTTTCCACACTCATTTCTTAATAGTGTTCCCTTGATCTCTGCTCTTCTTCACTGACAGAGTTCTACAACCTAAAATTCAGCAGTAGCCGATTAGCTATAGTTCTTTTATGGGTATCTCGTAGGTCAAATCTCTCAACATCCTGTTATCTTGCAGGACCCACCTCAAATGGCTGAGCCCAGGGGCAGAATCACCTGGCTCCCTCTTCTTGCTCTTGCCTGATGGCCACCACAGACTGTTCCAAATTGTCTGTCGTGAGAATACCCACCCCTCATAACAGGCCACTCAATCTGGGAACAGGTTCATGGTCACGTTCATGAATTCAGTAAAGGCAAGGGAAACCATCTGACCCCCTAATTGGAGTTCTCTATCCTGCCACCAAATGTCAATTCCATTTCCTAAGCAAACCAGACCAGCGCCACTCAAAGTACGGTTCTCAACTGGCAGCCCCCTCATCCCCGGGAAGCCTGGCAGAAATGCAGATTCTCAGGCCCCACCGGGTAAGGCAGTGTCAGAATCTCTGAGGGCAGAGCCCCAGAACATATTCTAATCCTATTCCTAGCCCCTAAAAGTATCCATTAAGAGCAGTTTGAAGATCTACACACACAAAGCAAATTGTCTGAAACACTGAATTAGACCGGTGCTGCTCCAACTTCAGTGTGCAAAGGAATGGCCTGGGGATTGGGTTCCAATGCAGATTCTGATTCTGTGGGTCTGTGCCGAAAAGCATTAATAAGTAATAATAAAAGTAAGTGGCCTGAGCATCTGCATTTCTCAATAGCTCCGAGGTGATGCAGATGCTGCTGGGCTGAGGACCATCCTGAGTGGCAAAGTCCTAACAAAAGCAGCCCAAGGAGAAGGAGTAAGCCTAATCCTAGCCCCTAGAACCATCCAGTAAGAACAGGTTTTGCTCAGAACATAAGGCGTGATATTTATTTAATGCATTTGAGAGGAGAATCGTTTCATTATTCGATGAGCTAATTAGCTCTTACCACAGGACCTTCACTGAAACGACTGCTGGACCACTACATGAATCATTTTGTTTCCTCCTTGTGCCTAGCACAGATCTGCTTAGTAAGTGCCTGTTGAATAAATGAATGATATTTAACGGTTGTTGCCACTGAACAGCAAGGAGCATCCCATATTTCCTTGGGGGGAATGGAGGCAGTATTCCTATGTAAGAGATGTATTCCTATGTAAGAGATGTCTTCCTCTCAAAAGGAAATGCACAAGGTGGAACGAACTAGAATATTACCTTGCCTCGGAGTTGAAAGAAGAGAGCAAGATAATCAACTAAAAGTGGCAGTGCTTTGCTTTGATTTCTACAGCTCTTATTAGTTAATTCAGTTGTTTTGTTGGAGCTGAAATAATGACACTAAATTCACTCTTCACCTGATTGTTATGCAGAGCACATACTTACATACTTTCAGCAGTGGTTACTGCACAACCTGAGCAAACTAAGATCAGCAATAAATTGAATCAATATATCAAACAAACTATGCCACCAAGAAAACAGAGAGGTCATAATGGGGGACTGCCAACATCCTAGACATTTGTGGCATCATTATCGTGTATAAATGAAAGAATATGACCACAAAAAGTACACATGTGGATTTGCCCATTTTTTGCGAAGTTTAAAACTTCAGACATGAGAATCATTCACATGGGCAAAAGTATTTTCACTTGATCAGACCAACTGGGGAGTTAATTGGGAGCCTAGATTTATGGGAAAATGAGAATGGCAGCTTGGCTACACAGAATACAAGGCATAGAGTGATACTTGAACTGTAGATAAATAAAAAGGCTATGCAGTCTAAGTATGTCCCAATTATTGCACTGTTTATCAGAAATTCATAATATGATTAGCCATTCTATAGGTCCATGTGCTGCATCTGGTCACCCTAGTCACAAGAATCAGTCAGTCAGCCTCTGAAAGAGGCTTAGAGATTAGTGCCTAGCTCCTCTGGGAAGTTGAGCTAAGAAAGCTGTCTAAGCTTTAGAGTTCAGTCATTTATCGATAATATGCTTTCAGTTTTATTCGAAGAATCAAACTGTACAAAGCATTTGCCAAGCCAAAATGGCGGACTCGGAGGAATTATGACCATAAGCCTCTCCCTAAATGCACAGGATGGAGAAGTCAAAGCCTATTCAACCTGCTATGTCATACATAAGTGCTAACTAGAAATTAATTCTAATCCACTGGTGCACTCCAGAGGAGACCTGCAGATGGAAGGGACAATCGCAGACAGAAGTCTTACAGTGGCTCAAAAGGTGCTATTTTAGTAATAATCCCTCAGAACTAATGTATTGATGAATTAAGAAATCAAGCAAGGTCAACCAGGAGTTTCCACTGTGTGTTTGGGAGAATATAAGAAAATATAAAGTTTCACCCTCAAAAAGCTTGCCATTTAGATGGAGAAAACCATGAAGCAATCAGAAAAGAGTTAAATGCTAAACTCTGTGGAATTATCTTTCTTTTCTTTTAACTTTCATTTACTTTTTTTTCATAGTACTGGGAACTGAACGTATGCTAGACAAGACTTCTTCCACTGAGCTACACCCCAGACCTGAAATTGCCTTCAAGGTCTTACAAAGCAGGGCCTGTGTGGTTAGAAGTTTGAGGATGGTCTCAAGAAAAAGCCAGGGGTTGAACTAGGATGAGTAATGTTTGAATAGACATATTTGAAAAATTTTAATAATCCTAAAATGGACTCTTCAATATCCTTTAAGAAAAGTGATTTAATTAACTTGGAGCCATTAAAGAAAACATTCCAGCCTCCCATAACTGTTTTTAGTTACTTTATTCCACCCTCAGATCCCTTATGATATACAAAAACTGAACTTAAAAATTTTACATTACTTTAGCTCACAGATTATTTCCACAAAATGTCATAGGAATCTATAATTTCTAGGTCTGGGACAGGATCTACTCCACATAAATGTTTACCACGACATTCATTCAACAAAAAAAGGTTGCATGCCCACCACATGCCAGCCTTATGAACTCATATTCATCCTAGACCTTGTGAATTCAATGGTGGACAAGAAGTAAGACAGATGAGTCTTAGCTCCTGCCAATGCACACATGCTACAACCAGAATCCTTCTCAAGAAGTCTGTCTTGTATTCACCACAAATTTGTCTCCTGGTAATTAGTAGTCATTCATGGTAGCAAGAAAGAATAAGTTCACAACATCTTCCGGTAAATATCTGAGGGTCACAATGCCTTGTCTTTGTCATCTCTACCTAACATCCACCATCTCCTTGCAGTAGGGCTGCTGTTCCCCTGGTCATCCTACTGTCAATCACTTCTCCAGACTTCGGTATTCAGAAATGAAAGTAATGAGCCTGATGTAAAAGTACAGGGTGGTAAATAATAGAGTAGAACTACATATTAATGTCATGACCTGGGTATTAGAAACCCTAAGAATTTCTTTTTTTTTTTTTTTTTTTTTTGGTTTTTCTCCGGTACCGGGAACCGAACTCACGACCTTGCACTTGCCAGGCAGGCGCTTTGCCACTGAGCTAAATCCCCAGCCCCAGAATTTCTTTTTTTTAAGCACCTGCTGTTGGCGTCTAAGACCTCCATACAGGTAGGGATTTTTGATGGTTTTGAACACGACTGTCTCCCTAATGCCAAAAAAGAGCATGGCAGATAGCACATTTGATATGCATTTGTTCAATGAATAAATGAGTGAATGAAAATATTGAGCTCAAAGTCAATTAAATCACCGGATTTACTTGACCTTTTACCAAACACGATTGCTGTTCTTATTATTCAAATCCTGACAGATAAAGTCATAGTGCATTACAGTAAACCAGAGAAATGATATTCAGAAGCAGAAAGAATAGTTAGAAGTTCAAAAAGAATAATCAGAAAAAGCATCTCATCAGCCTGTATCGGCTAGTGTTGTCCAAAATGGCAAAAAACAAAAAACAAAACAAAACAAAACAAAAAACAGCGATAGAGGAAAGGGATGGTGACAACAATTACATGCTTAATCTTTTGAGCTGCCTTTATTTTCAGCTTGGTTAAATTTAGCCTTTTGGGGTTCCACGCAGTACTTCAGATATCAGCAGTATTCTGAATCTTGATTTGCTTACCTGTTGTGTTTATTACCTCCACAACTCGGGCCATCCACATATGTGGTATACATCCATCCCCTATATATCTTTATCAAAATCCCTAAAAAATTTTATATGGGAAGGTTATATGTCAAAGCTTCATGATATTCCACTACAGACCCTCACTGAGATAGCTGACATTAATCAGCTGGCTTTGACTGCTGTCTAGTTGGAAACCCAGCAGTACTAACATATAGCCATATTTTATCACCCTATCCATAGGGACACATTTAGGTGCTTTGCCAAAATGGCACTCCCTAGCTCTGTATACAAATATGCCTATTTGAAAGGGAAATGGGATATTTAAAAAGATTTGTTCTTAGTAAATTCATGTTAGCTCCTAGCAACCACTACAGTCTTTACTAAATGATCACTAACCATCTGCTTAATTTTCTATTTGAAAATTTTACTGTGCACTGAAGTCAAGATTTTCAAGTCAATAGTCTCATATTCTATCACTTTAGTATTTGGAAAATTTGACAACATCTCCAATATTATTTTTCTTCTTTTCTTTTTCATTTTTTTGTCTTTCTGAGACAGAGTCTCCCTGTGCAGTTCAAGCTGGCC